CCCTGGTTTTTTAAACGTCGCGATTTGCCTAAAAACATCACTTCCACTATTATTCGTTTGCGCTTAGGCCATGTTTGCACACCTGTATTTTTGCGTAAAATCAGAGTTCGAGATCACTCTCTGTGCGAGTGCGGCCTAGAAGACGGTACCTTGGAACACATTTTTTTCAATTGTCCTAATATTGCTGTTCCACTTTATAACTTACTTTCTCCAAAATTCCCCCGCCCCGTTAACATAAACAACCTCTTAACTTTAGTGTTCTCCCCCCATATTGTTACTCTATGTAAATTTATCCACTTAAATAACATATATTTATAAATATTGTTTTGCTGTTTTGTTTTACATTCTCAACTGAGTACTCCCGTAGTCCAACTTACCAACACCGGTTAATGTCCTATTAGAGCTTAGCGAAAATTTTTTTTTTGTTTCGTTTTTTTTTCTTTCAACTGTGACATTGGCAAAATCATCAGTTCTCATATTGATGGAGCCATAAAAATAAAAAGTGAAGTGAATTTGTGAAGCAAAACTTGTCTAAAGATGTGTTTAGCCGATTAATTTTACAAAATTCGTCAATTTATTAAATGCTTTTCAATTTTATTGACTTTTGTAATTTTTGATCTCATCGTTAGTAGCTTATATAAAGTCTGGTATGGTTGTAATAAATTGAAAAAAATTAACTCGCGAGTGTTATATTCTCGTCAATTTCTGCATGTTAAAAATGATTTGATTTAGCTCGATCGCGGACTCAGTGAGTCTCAGTGCTTGCTTTAATAACCAGCGGTCCGTCCAACTTAGCAATCTAAGACCTTAGGAAGTGGTAAGAACAACTCAATATTTGTTAGTTAAGAAAATGCTTAAACTTGTAGCATTGAAAGTGTTAAAGTTCGTTTCATTAATATCTAATTTTCAGAGTTTATTATTAATGAATTTATGAAATTGTTTAGTAAACAAGTGATTTTTTTATTATTTGTGTTAACGACGAATATACAAAAATTCCCCAATGTTATGGTGTATTCTGTATCTTGTATAGCAAATCCTGTCAAAGTCGGACTTGGCTGCTAGTTCAGACGACCTTGGTAGCACAATGTCTGCCTTGTGGGTGCTGGATGTTGAGGTCCTTCGTTTGATTCCCAGAAGGACTAATTTGGAAAACTTTTCTAAATTGATTTTAAACTTTTCAAAGTTGGTTCTGGTCGTGAGTAGTGCCCCAAAGTGAATTCCAATGCTCTGGTACTCATAGCACGGGGAGTTCCCTAGTTTAAGAGCAGGTAATTGGTGTGATAGTCCATCACACAATCATTATAATAGGTGTAAGTTTTTTATTAAAAGATGTACTGATATCCTTAGCTATATTCTTAGAGAACATGCAAATTACGTTTTTAAAAAAATCTTGTAAACAGAAAAACAAATGTGAAATGCAATGGTGACTACACTAAATTATTCAAAATTTGTGCATTTCTTCAGGTTAGTTTACAACATAAATATCTTATGGCTGTCAATAACCATAGTACCAAGGAGTGTGGCTATTTTCTTGTGTGCAGTTGATAATAAATATAATACAAGGTGCATGACCTGTGGTAAATTTATAATCCCAAGTATCAATAACTACTATGGAGATACTTAAAGAAACTTATTCCATACCTATTAAACAGCTTACAAGAGCTTATTACAAATGACACTAAAAATGTAAATAAAAAATAAATGTTGAAAGATCATTATTTAACTGCCTCCTTGGCCGAATGGTTACCATGCTGGAGATGCCACGCAGAGATCCTGTGTATGGCCTACATTTGTTTCTCTATTGTGGGGCTATGTTTTTGTTAAATAGTTATAGTTTGTCTTTTTTGAAGATGGAGTGAAATGACATTTGCAGGGTTTCTAGTTTGTGTAAAATTTTAAATAGTCATTTAGTAATCGTTGGCAGTTTTATTGATAGATTGTGAAAGTAGGTAAAATTTAGCCAAAAATGTCTGAATTGTGAATTTTATGACATTATTCTTATTTTGACAATTGACCTATTATTATCAAAATAAATTTTTAGTCATGCACACATTTCAATAACGACAAGTGCGTGGAAAGGAGTTAACAGATTAATATATATTATTTAAGTTTAAACATTTCCGCAAATATCGGAAAGTATCTTAGAAAGGTGTGATCTGTTATACAGTGCATTAGGACATCTGAAAATTGCCGAGAGATATTAAGGAAATTGTTTGTCCTGTAATTGTATGAAGTAGTTTTTTTTGTAATATTAAGTGACGGGACGAACAAGTCGTGCGCCTAACGGTAAGCTGTGTAGCTTACCGTCAGGCATATCCATTACAGTTGCAGTGCCCCTCAGAGCTTTAAGTCTCAAAGATCTGAGGGGCATTGCCACTGCGCCCGTCACCTTGAGACATAAGTTGACAAGTCCATGTGCCTGTAATTTCACCAGCACCCTTACCCTTTATAACCAGAACACAGTAGTAATGCTGACATTACTGCTTAGCGGCTGAAATAGGTAAGGTGGCAGTACTACTCTGGATGAACTCTTTCACAAGGAGTTCTTCTGCTACTGAAATTGTGTAAGGTCAATAATATTATCTAAATTTGACTGTAGCTTGTCGCCATCATTCGAGTTTGTGACATACATAGATGTATATTTTCGTATCATCGGCGTACATAATGAAATGAAAGTTTGTAAAACAACGTTTCTATATACGTCGTATTAGTACGCACTATAAGAAACGGGATCCAAAAGAGAATCTTGAGGTATTCTTGATGAGACTGTAATCAGATCAGATATACATCAACCTGTGGTCATGTATAGATGCAACAAAGATTGTGTTGTCTATAATCAAACCCGTTTATAATTTTTTCTCTAGAATAGAATACAACTTCATTTATTGCAACCATGATATAAATACAGTTGTTACAAAGTCAAATAGTGGACCCTGGCAGTTTGTATTATAATAACTTGTAATATTAATTTCCGCTGTAGAATTGTATCTTAGAATTAAGTGCTAAATATAAAATATAGGCTATACAACGAGATCAATTTTTTAGAGATCACGATCCAGCATGTAGTCTGACTGAATAATAGGTAATGTTTTTTTTTACAAGAAATGTTTTTAGTTTGGTAGTGAATGAATTGTTTTTTGTTATATTTTTATTGATTAGGCATTTTGTTGCAAATTTACATGGATTTGTAATATGAACCTTTTTTAAAGATTTCTAGAGTCACTTCTGAGAGGATCAGTCGCTTTGCGACGAGTACTTTTGTTGAATCCAAACAGATTATTTCTCAAAAATGTGTTACAAATAAATAAATAAATTGAGCAGGGTTAATAATTGGAGGTTTATAAAATGAGGCTTGCCGCTGTATTAAAATTGCACAATTGCACGTTCTGTTGATATAATCATTATTTTAATCTAATCTAATTCAGTTAATGAACCCACTGGTGATAGGTAAATATTTATTGTTGAATAAATTAAGTAATTAAACCTTTTTTTTGTTTTTATCTTTTTCAATTCAATGTACGAATTGCCTCTGCTTACTTCCATTGGCTTACTTATTCCGAAACAAAACAAAATTCAAAGGCGCATTTAGAAAAAGGACATACAACATAATGTAACGATTAATGAAACGAGTTATAACTACCAGAACGGACTAGTTAAGCAACATACGTAGATATGTTTTTTTTATCAGCGACATTCATATCAGAAATGTGTTTTGCTGAGTCATGTAAAACGCGGGACTGCTCACACTATTCGAGCAGAGTTGCCAGTCGTACAAGAATTCTAGTACATTTTCAAGATACAAGATACTCTTGTACGATGTGCTAAGCAAAATGTTTTCCAGTGTGCAAAAAAAACGAATTTTTGAATTGAATGTTAGAAAACATTCAATTCCATTCTACCCTTATTTTTACTTGGTATTTTTGTAGAACAACAACTTTGTAGAACACTTGCGCGATATATTTAAATGCAGTTAAGTCTTAGTTGCTGTAGTTGTACACCAACTGACAAAATAAATACTAAAATGCTACCAGCGGTGACGGATATGAAACCTATTGCATGTAGTACCGTCGGCGTCTACCTCACAACTATTAACTCGTATTGGCAATGACTCAACGTTTTCATGAAATAAAGTAAATGGAACGTTATATAAGTTAATGGAACGGTCATTGATTTTTTTAAATAAAATACATTGTACACGAAATTTCAAGGGGCACGCGAATACTTCAAGGTGCGACTCGACAACCTAGTTCTACCCGTCTGGCAACCCAGCTATCACGCGGTGTATCTTTTTTTTAATTACCCGAGGGAATCTGCTTACAGATACCCCAGCCCTACGGGGGCAGAGCCGTGTTATGTGGGACTGGGCTGAACTCTGAAGGGGAGCAGCCCTACCACACCAAACCCCAGGGTGATCCTCCTCTCCGCTGCAGGTGGAGGCACGGGTTCGCTATCGCTCGTCCGCGCCTCCACCAGCGGCTGGCCGCGTCCAGCGCAGCCCCTCCCCGAGAAGAGAGACACAACGGTCCCCCGACTCTTAAATGTAAGGCTCGTCGAACACCACACGAGCCTTCCATCTCGGACCCTTCCATGCTGGGTAACGAACTCCCCCGTGTCCGCTACCCAGGGTCCATGGGGGCCAGGACGACATCCCCTCAACTCTCAAGTTTAGAGGATGCTCTCCCAGCCCCCACGGCGGATCTGTTGGTAGGCTCCGTCGCAACACCCTACACGCATCCGTCTGGACTATCCGAAGAGAGTCCCTTGGAGCGCCCACCGCACGGGCCAGTCGCTTAAATTAGGCCGCGGAGGACAGGATGAGCGGCAACGATACACCGACACGTCGCTTCCCCCGCGGCCCCACCGCCACTGTATCTACACCCTAAGCGGTGCAGCCCCGCCAGAGTTGCGGAGAGGAGCGGAGACAGGACGAGTGGCAACGACACACCGACACGTCTCTTCCCCCGCGCCCCTCCTCCCCGAATGCGTCCGCGCGGACCCGCTCGTCCTAGACCAAGACGAGCCCGCGTGGTACGCCCTCCTCTTCGGGCCAGGCTAGTTCCATCGACCGGCCCGTGGTTTCCTCTTAGTTTCACGGTGGGATGAAATCGACCACGGCTACTAGAGCGCCCCCCCGCCACGACAAGACGGGAACCCATTCGGGGGGGCACGCGGTGTATCTTAGTCTGAGCCCGCGCTTGCGACTCTACACTCGTGTCCCGCGCACTTGTACGCGCTAAATCTCGTGTGTTCAAAAAGCATGCGGGCAGTATATCTTTTTCTACAAACGTTACTTATTGAGAACCATTGAAGTTCAAAGTGAATTTAGTGTGCTGTGAAAGTGATCTCAAGAATACTATACTGTATTTATTTGCATTTATTTTTGCGCCCAGTCAGTATTACTAAGCAGTTTTGTTTTTGGATTGTATTAAAGTTACAATGAAGTTTAATGAAAATGGACATAGCCAATTTTTCCGCCCTGGTAAGGTCGCAATCTTGCTAAGGGTTTATTAGAGACCAACTTCATGAGTGTTTCCATACTTTCTTTTCCATACTAAAGTTGTTTCCATACGGGATACCATTTGAACACTTCAGAAATTTTCCTCCTTTATGCATACTTTTATAATGTACGTCTCTACAAGTGAAACTATAAAGTTTTACTTTATAGTCTCACTTCCACTACCTCAATCGCCTACTGAATTTGAATATACGGGTATTTACTCCATAAAAACAAATAATTCACTTTCAGAAAAATGTAAATCAAGCAACAACAGAAGTAGATTTCCTTGTGAAAAGGTTCGTCCAGGGAAGTACTGCCACCATACCTATTCCTCCACCAAGCAGCGATGTGAGGTGCTGGTGAAACTACAGGTGCATGGGACTTATCAACTTTATGTCTGAGAGTGACGGGTGAACTGGTAGTGCCCCTCAGAGTGGGACTGCAACTGTTATGGATAGGCGTGTTTTTTTTACTACCAGGCGTACGACTTGTTCGTATTGTCACTTGATATCATAAAAAAAATTATGTAAGAGAATGTAACGGAACTGTATTTTTCATTGTCAGCAGACGAATTTATGGAAACAGATGAAGACACTCGCCGGGGCAACCTCCTCGACGACATGCCACCGATGAACTGCGGAGGTTCCGTGGAGGGCGGTGTGAGCACTAGCACCAACGATATCGGCGATATGACTTTCTGCATGGGCAACTATATTACGGATTTTATGAAGGTAAGTGTGTCTCCAAATTTTAAATTCCGGCTTATCCCGAATTAAGTACTAAGTGGTAAATAAAGCTACATATCGTGACTATTGACGTACCATCTTTAAACATATTGAACTCGCCAAGCATTGTACTTTTCGTCAACTTATCATCTTGAGTGATGTTTCCCAAAGTGGCCTATCTCTCTCTGTTTCCGTGTCCCTCGAAAATGGAAATCCCTTTACCGTCTCAGGTCACAAGTTGGCCGACAACGTGGTGAAATGGTGACGTATCAACATGACTCAAACCCATAGTGTTTGCGGATTGCTTTCGTGCACACTGTGTCCGACCAGCTGCATCCGCGACGTGCTAAAGGCAACAGACAGGGGCATAACGATGGCTGCTTACTGGGCCAAAGAAATATATTACTGGTTTGGTATTTTATTGGTTTTTGTCATTGACTCAACAACAAGAAGACACGGGGTCCATGTCATAAACAATAAAATATGCATGATATATTAACGGGAGTCCACGAGTGTGGAACCTACATATTTAGGCAGGTCGTAAACAATTTATTTTCCATATACGAAATAACCCACATTACATATATATAATGGTCCCTATGTACTTACACAATATTTACTTAATAATATAATTCATTGTGAAGTAAATATTTCATGGCAAACAACAAAACAATCGGTTACATAAATATATAAATTAACATGTGTGTGATAAAAGTGAGCAACACTGTCTCAGCTGTTGGAAACACATTTCAAATTGGTGAAATTGTAAAAAAATCCTTACCTAATAAGGATTTTTTTAGGGGGGGTCTACGCAAAACAGAAAAAATTGGCCTACGAGACAACAAAAAGGAACCCCAATCTTGGGTCCACGCAAACATCCTAGTTTGGCAACAAAAGTATGCAGTTGTGTCCATCTTAAAACTTATTTTTAAAACTATTTCAATTTAAAATTTTTTGGTGTGCATTATGTAGCGTAGAGTTCAATTTAAATCTTGAGTTTTGAAGGGCGACACTTTTTTAGTACCTTACAGTCAGCGAACGCCTCCTTTAATATTCATTACTATCGTAATATCATTTACAGCTGCAACACATATAGTCATAGAGTAAAATAGGAAACCCATATTAAATAAACTAATTTTATTGTATTTTTACAATAAAATTACATTTAAAGTTCATTTACAATTAAAGTTCACGTTCATGTTACAAAAACAGTATATTACGCGCTTTAATATGTAGTTTTACTCTTAAAATCTACTTATTATAGAGAACTTGACGGCAGGCGTGTCTGGCATAGGTATGTACAGCGCCGGCGGCAACAACGTCATTTTGGCGGACAAAACTAACCGTAAACGGAGAAAACTAAAACTAACCTTCAATATAAACTGTCACTAGCCCGGGCACTGAACTTACACAATGATATCGTTTGTTTTTAACCGACTTCAAAAACGGAGGGGTTCTCAAGTCGACTGCATATTTTTATATTTAAGTATGTTTCGCGATAACTCCGGAAATTTCCATTTGTGAACCGATTTTGATGATTCTTTTCTTGTTGGAAATTAGGTAGGTACCTCAGTAGTGGTCCCATTTAAATTTAAAGAAAATATTCCACGTCTAATCCTGGCGAACTAGGAGATGAATCCGGTTTCGCGTATTTTCCGGTAACCGATTTCAATAAACATTGGCAAATAAGTAGAAGTAATTCCACGAATTTTTGAGGTCGATTTTTTTAGCACTCTTCACCCTAAATAAATATTTAAGGACTTTAATCATTATAGACCATGTCAACCCCAATAGAAAAACAATACATAAAAAAGTCTGAGTAAAATCCAAACAGATAAATTAAACCGAATATTTATACAAGTCAAAGTCAAAGATTATTTATTCCGTAGGTAAAATAAATTTACACTTGAAAACGTCACATTTAAGCTACTGCTCGTTCACCACGCTGACCTCCCTGAGAAGAACGAGCAAGAAACTCCAGGGATTGCTCTTTTCAAATAATTAAGAGGGAGCAGAGGAAAAATTCCTAATCTTCGATTTGATTTTAGAGGAATATACCCCTTTATATATATTATACCACTTTAAAGTTAAAAATAAAATATTGTATGAGTAACTACACGATATAATCAATAATAGACATTAATCAGAAACATAAAACAATAAAGTTTCCTCGATAGATAAAAATCACGAAATGACCTCTAATTTTCACATTTTTTCGACATTTTTTCCCTTTAGTTTTAGAGTTATTCCGCTAAAACGAATTTGGTACTTCTAATGCGCAAAATTCAACATCTCCTGTCGCATGTCACGCGAACTTCAGGCATATATTGGTTTCAAAAATTTGGGCGCAGCCAACGTCAAAACTTTTTTGGCATGCTCCCTCTTAAATGCTATGGAATACACTTTGAATCAAATGTGTGTGGATTCTGGAGCCGTGTCGTCTTTCCATACATCTTTATCTAACACGTAGTCTTCAATTTTGTAATTAGGAAATGATAAACTTAATATATGCTCCGGAATCTTATTGTAAAAACGTATACCATGGTACCGTGGTACCATGAGTTTGCACTTAGCTCTAAGGTTAATATTATAGATATCTTCTTTCTTATTGAAATTATGTATATTTTTACGAGCATTTAAAATATTTGAGTAAATGTACTGTGATGCCACAGTCGTGATACCAGTCTCCTTAAACTTTTCTCTGAGAGAAACCCGAGAGCCTAGACGGTACACAGAACGAATCGCTCGTTTTTGCAATACAATATGGTTTAAATATCTGCCGCTTTACCCCACATGAAAATCCCGTAGGACATTATACTATGGAAGTAACTAAAGTAAACTAGGCTAGCAGTACTAACATCGGTAAGCTCCCGTATTCTGCGGACTGCGTATGCAGCGAGCTTAATCTGCTGGCCAGGGAAGATATATGTGGAAACCATTGTAGTTTAATATCTAAGGTCACTCCCAAGAAGACTGCTTTATTAACAAGGTTTAACTTTTCTCCGTTTATTTCTATGCTTAGACTAGTCGATTTTACGTTAGATAATTCAAATTTAACACATTTTGTCTTCTTGATCTTGATCTTGAAGATCTTAACGACACTGCTTGTTGGCTCAGACAAAACGGATTGAAATCACCCAACATTATACGTACCGAAACCAACCAACCTGTGCAAATAACCACACCCTGATAGGTTCCAGCCGAACACATTCCATGAGCAAATATATTTGTTGAAATGCTTTTTATAGTTGTAACTTACCGAACTATCGCATTCACTTCCTTAAAATGATAAATATTCATACAATAAATAATTATGTTTATTTTATGAAACCATTCATTCACATCTGATATAATAGAATACTGTCAGGGTCACATCAAAATATTTCGTGTGGATAATTATCGATTTCGTAACACGTGACTCATCAACCTTAAGTTCAAACGCGTTCAGTGACCCAGACAATATTTTTCCTACTAAGATTAACCGGTAGATGCAGCGACACTGGAAGGACTTAATTAACTTTAGGGAGTCATCACACCTATCGATACGGAATCGTACTAAGCCGGTCAGAGAAAGCTTTATGTTTATGCAATTAGATCGATAAAGACTTTACCATTTCGAAACGCAAAAAAAAGCTCAAGTTTATTCAGAGTAAGTGTACTGACTTCTTTATAATCTCTATACAGATGTTTTTTTTTAATGGGACATACGATTATGATATAGGGAAATCCGAAACCGTAGAAGATGCAAGGAAACTGTCTTAGGAACCCTTAAGTCTTTTTATAAAAACAATTTTGGTGTATATCGATTTCTTAGGTTTTCGCGATTGTTACACATAGGAAATGAAACTATTTTTCCGGATTTAAATCGCGTATGTTTGTTTTGTCAAACAAACCAACGTTTCGGGCGCTTTACAGGTCCCATGGTCACGGTTGACTGAGGTGGTACAGTCTTCAACCAGTTACTAATGTCTAATTTTGAAGCAAACCACCCTATTTTTTCACTATAGTTACAATAGTTATTAATTAAATACCAAATTTTTAATTTTACAAAGAAAACATTCCAATTTACGCTACATTAGAATAAATTAAAACATTAATTAGTACTGCAGTCTTATCTCTGTTTGGGATTTTTCATTAGAGGAATTTTGGTGTAGTAAATTTTTGGTGAAGCGTATGTTGTCCAATGCATAAAATGATCAAATTTTTTTTAGTGTTCATGGACTCAGTTTCATGTAAGGATCATTCTATGTAAGGGACGAAAAAATCAGGACAGCAGAAGTGTGTCAAATTTAGTCAAAGGTTTGGCAAACTGCTTAATTTTTCAAATGCTACATTAGTATTATAAAGAAACCCCACGGCAACACTAATCCCGCTGTCGGAGCACCTCCCTCCTGGGCATGATCTATACCTTGGAAAACTTGGAAGTCTCTAAATAGGCTGCGGACCCCAGTCGACCAAGGTAAGGAGTGCATGTACGGGTAGGGTTACAGCTCGGAGAGCGCATATGTGTTTGGTGTCTCTCCCCAGACAACTGCCGGGTCATAATAATAATAAATTAACAAAAAAGGTTCTAAAACAAACATCTTCTTAGACCAAAAAAGTATTATCAGAAAAACAATAAATTGTTACTGTTCGTAGTCAAATTATATAGAAATCTTTTTGTAAGTTAAGTCAAGAAAAAAGTACGCTTTCGTGATTAAAATGTTATTAAATTTTGTAGTTTGAAAATATGTGTAATTAAGAATAACAAAAAAAAAACAATCTCATAAGTGCTCTGAAAATCACAGCAGCTTCATTTTGTTAAATGTCTTGCACAAATATAATTAAAAGGTAGTGTCTTGTTCTGTAGCCACGCCACCCTATTTTTTTATTATGATATTACCCACTTTAATCTTAGAGGATGGAAAAAAATAATTTGCATAATCTAAGGGTCATATTCCAGAACTCTACTCAATACTCAAGTCAGGACTTGAGTGTTGCAGTGAGCACTGAAAATCATACTCAAGTCCTTGCCATTGGGGTCATATTTCCAGTGCTTGAAATCATACTCAAGTCTGCTCAAGTGCTGACTTGAGCATTGAGTAGAGTTCTGGAATACGACCCTTAGACTATAATACACAGCTGACATACATGACTTAGCGACAGGCGTGCTTTATTTCAGGATACTCGTCGAGGTGTGCTGATGCTGTAGTCGAGGTTTTGCGTTTGGGTATGGAGTGTTACATACCATACTCTGATTTACCTAATGGACCCCAAACTCGTCCATGGTTTTACGCTGATTGTAATTGTGCTGAAACACGTAAACAGTCCGCGCACCAAGCGTGGGCAGATGCTCGACTACGCAAATTATTATTGTCTTGTTATAGTGTGGTATTTAGTATTGATGCAAAAACCTTGGTTCGGGTGTTTTGGATGGTGTCTTCGCATCGATTTTCGTTGCTCTGGCCCTCATATTATCACTTCACCCTTAGTATAAGACACAAAGAAATGGTGTGAATGAATTTCTGGTACTTACATTTATTCATTTATACAGAAGAAGCTTATTGTCATCTTGCCTGCCATGTCGCGAGTTCACAATATTTATATAGTACGAATAAGCATTTTATCTGCGACCTATGACCTGTGTGACGAATGTATAAAGATTTGAGTTTTAGATAAGGTTTATATTTATTTATGTGGGTTTAAATTGATTTGCTTTCTTGTAATTTGACGTACCGGTAGACTATGTGATGTAGGCACCTACTACTTTGGCAAATAAATGTTTAATTTGAACTTATTGCTATGTATGTACGAGTACTTACAATCAAAATAACATAACATAACAAAAACAAGGCTTGCCGTCGTAAATAACAATTTATACAGCTTAATGTATGCCTGAGTGTATATATATAACATGTAACATGTATAATCCTTCCTCTCCACACTAACTATATACCGTATCTACAATTTCCGATGCAACTAAATAATACATATATGTATATGTACATACATAGATTGTATTTAGCTTGCAAAAGCAAACATTTGTCACTAACCGTCGTACATTTCCCAAAAAAACCATATAACTCATTGACACTACAAAAATTTGCCTACGCATCATTTTATTTAGGATAATATTATATATATTTAGGATATTTATATTTAGGAGAAAGAGGACTTGTACGCTAACGTAAATATTTCAATTGGTTTAGTAAACAAAAGATTTCATGTAACTGGGAATAACCCATCTATGCGACTAAGCATGACATAGCAAATAACTCACGAATAGGTAAGTCTTTGATAATATACACGTATTTATAAAAATAAACACGTGTATATTATCAAAGACATTACAATGTTCCAATAAATCCACCATGATTCCGCTGTAACGGAAATAATAAAGATATGTACATTCAAATATTTTGTGATCGTAACTTAAAGTTAAAGTTTTAATTGAAATTAAGTTTTTTAAGTTAAATTCCACGATAATAGAATGATAATTTTGTAGTTTAAATGCTTCACTTACAAAAAGTTTTAATTGAATTTCTAATGTACATTTTTATTACAACGTATCTTTTTCTATGTCGAATCATAACTAGGCATTGTAATATAGTCTATAATGATCTATACGTACCATTCGACCGCCTTATGAAGCTGGTTTCGTAAGAATTTCTCTCTTTGGTAATTGATTTCGGTATAAGTCTTTCTTCTTCGGTAACTGATTTCGGTAGAAAAAAAATTCTTTTTCTTATTACCGAAGTAACAAAATATCGATAAATGAAATATTACACTGAAATTATACAAGTTATTAATATATCCTCGAATAAATAGTGTCACATGCATAAGTGTTACTTTACAAAACTTAAACGCAAAAGTCCGAAGGTTAGATAAATGATAAGTCATGTTCGGTACATTGCGCATGTTGTTGTAAAATATTTGTAAGATGCTTAATATGCTGATTGATTACATGAATTTTAATCGAAACTCCGTACGGTCAAATAAATTCAATAGTGTCCAGATTGAAAGAGATAAATAAAAGTAATATCTGTTTAGTCGGTCTGTAGTCAGTTGTTAAGAGCGGTGGCCCCTGCATGGCAACCGACACTGGTACCGGTCCAGTCAGATCGCAGGAATCGCAGTTTCTTTTAGTTTTTAGTACACCTATCGCAACGGAAAAAGCAAAACTTATGTTTATTCATTTGCAGATGATGTTCACAATGCGATCCCACCATATGCTGACGGACGTCATATTAGAAGTTGGAAACGAGTTGTTTCACGTTCACAAAGTGGTATTGGCAGCTGGCAGCCCTTATTTTAAAGTAAGTATTAACCTTGATCGAATCTTGTGTAGATAATATTCATTGTATTATTAAAAGTTTGTAAAATTTTGCCACATAAGCATGAGTATGAATCTGCATCTTTTCGAATCTTTTTTTTTATAATGTCAAGTGACGGGACAAACAAGTCATGCGCCTGATGGTGAGCTGCACGCCAGTCCCTGACGCGTGAAGTGCCACTCAGCTCTTTAAATCGCAAAGATCTGAAGCGCACTGCCATTGCGCCTGTCACCCTAAGACATAAGTTGACAAGACCCATGTGCCTGTAATTTCACCAGCACCCTTATCCTTCAAAACCGGAACGCAGTAATGCTGACATGCAGAAATAGATAAGGTGGCAGTACTTCCCTGGACGAACCCTTTCACAAGGAGCTCTACTGCTACTAACATCTCAATCTCTTTGTAAATAATTTTCAAGCGTTCAAACTTGTATTTTCGGTATCTATTCATTAAATTAGTTATTCGATTGGTAGGTGGCAGTACAATTGGCCATCACTAAACCGTCTATGGTCGGGTTAGTGATTTGTTTGTTTACTTTTTGTTTAAAATTGATTGAAATGAAGAAGTATACAACAAACACGTAGAGCATTGTAATCCTACACAAAAAAATATTAATTTATACCATAACTTTCGGTAAAAACACATTTTGAATTTAATTTTTCAATGACCCATTGACGTCTTTAATCTGTACGTTTAAAATATCAAAGCAATTTTAAGGGAATTTTTTTACTAAATGTTCTTTTCATGCGTTATCCTTTAGAACTATTGTTGTCTATTGTCCTTTTGATTTCTGTAGAAAGCGACTGAACGAGGCCAACGACAACAATTCATCTATTTACTTACATCATGTAACCAAAAAGTTGTGTATATCAAGTTCAGCAACTCCGATCATTATCGGAAAAGTAAAAGTGTATCTTGTAGCCATTGCTCTTTAACTTTATGTCATGCTTCAACACTACATAGTACTTTAGGTCCTCTGTGAAAACTGAGCTTAAATTTTCACTTATTAAAATAACAAAATCCAGGATGAGTTTTACAATATATTACAACTACTGAAGTTTCAAGTACTACATTTACAAATGTGGCCACTCAGATAAACTATAACATTTTATGTTATATTTGTTATGTTATATGTTAGTTATTATGAATATGTAAAAGGGTTAATCAGAACTTCAAAGTGTACTTGTGAACTTCAAATACAAAATAACTATATACTTTAGTATCATATAAGTAATATTGTAAAAAAAATGTAATGTGGGTTACACACTATTGCGTTGATAGCCTCATTTTAAAATTTATTTAAAGAATTTAATTTGATTTTTTCATCAAAAGAACTAAATGTACCCCAGGTGATATTTACGTTAAACTAAATGTTGCAAAATTTTTATTAGTTTATAATGATAACGAATTGGTATATAGTGAAGTACTTATTAGTTAAGATGGCAATAATGTGACGTACTCTCTGAATGCATATTTGCACTAAAGTGATATCTTGGAATCAAAGGTCATTGACGTCACTTCATTGTGGATAGCATTCGTTTTATTGAGATAATTAAGCTCCAACTTCCCCATGTACTAGTACACTAGAATTTTCTTGATATCTTTCAAGTTTCAAGTTGCGGTGTCAAGTTCGATGTCTTGTCAATCTTTGAGATATTTCGCAAAAATGATACTCTGTGTGGGAGTAGTGGGTGCTACCTTGAGTGCTGCCCGGGCATTGTACCGCCTGCGGTTCATCGACGACATAGAATCTGTTCTTTCACTAGCACAAGAGAATTAAGATCTAACGTTTAATGTTTTTTGCGTTTTTATAAATAAATAGAGTATCGCAAATGTCTGTAGACAGTTATTACTTTCTATATGGTGTATCGACTGTTTGCCAGTTTTAATACCACAAAAAATAACTTGTAAATTCATTGACTTACAATTATATGGACGTCGGGTCCGCGCTAAAAAGTGTCCGCACTTGTAAGGCGCTAAAATCGTATACAGAGCGCGACACTCCGCTTTAGTCTTCATTTGTTCTACGGACAGCGCGATACTGCGATGACATAACAATTTAAATTTCGAATAGGTTGACTTGGGACATTTTTTTCGTGGTTTTTGTATTAGACCCGTCGTCCATTTATTTGTAAGTCAATGTGTAAATTTGAAAAAAGAATTGCTTCAATCGACTTTACGTTTCTGTTGTATGCGGCCAGTGCTTCACACGTTACGTTATCTTAATTCTTTTTTTTTTCAACCACCATTCAATCTTTTCAATCGCTTTAGATACTACAAGTCATAATGATTCTAACGTCATCACTGTCGTAGCTAGCTATAACTATAATTGTTAATTAACTTCATACTCACACATCATCACAAATGCATGACATATCCCCTGTTAGGGTGTAACAAACTGAAAAATAGGAAACAAAGTAATAAACAATGAGAATACGTTAAAAATGAAACAAAAAAAATTTATATATAATGTAGTAATGAGTGAGTTATTATTATGTTTTAACAAAATAGATTACATAAAATAATGAACCTATATACTAGGAACAAATATCATTTATGTCAAAGTTTGTATTATATTATTGTGTGCAAAATCTGAATAAACAAATGCTTATGTAATTTCTATACTACAGAAAATAGAAAATGGAGTTGCTTCGCAACAATGCTATCATTGAAAGTGACGAAGAAAATCATAGTTGTAACAAAAGTAAACTATTTTCACTATATTGGCGACATTCATAATGGCGACAAGAGAATCAGAATAGAGGTCAAAGTATGAACGTGAATGTAGCAATTACTATTAATTGTTATCAAATATGTCAAGGCTGTAATGTAATGTGAAATTGACTCATTCCATCTTTTATTCAAAGTTTAGTGACCTTTTTTTACTTACAATATGGGGCACCTTGTTGACAAGGGCTAGCTTTAATTATTATAAATATTTAGTAATACAATATAGGTAGGTATGACGACTCATACTCTAGCTAAATTCTTCTTTTTATTCTTTTAAATGCTATGGGTCCATCGAAACAAACGATGATTTCGCCAATGTCAAGTAAAATGTCTATGTGCGGTACTTCTACTTTTTAATGTTACAACCCCATCGATACCATATCGGTAAACCCGCCAATGCCAAGTTGAGGAACGCACGCGTTTTTAACTCAAAGATTGACCGGTAAATTCCGAAAAAATTAACGGAAGAGAGAATCTACAGCAACAGAGTACATACACAGACTATTACAGGAACAAATTATTTATTTTAATAAACTTACACGGGACAAAGACAAAGGAAGAGTAGACTAACGTTAAGAGGAAGTTGATATTAACGGGACGGGGTTTTAAAGGGGAGGATATCAAATAGAGGAGTGACGATACGATTACAGTAAAAAAACAAGTGCTGGAGTACCCTCTACCAGACCGCACTCACACAGGGAGTTATCTCGAACACGAATCTTGGCTAAGAACACAGGCTAGCTAAATACATCATAGAATGTTTAATAACAAAACGTTGCTAGGCAACCGTTGATGGCATAGGAAAAGGACATTTTTTGTCAACATTCATTATTTAGACTTGCTCTGAGTAAGTTATGTAGAAAATGATTCTTACCTGGCTTATTATTATAAAATTTACAAAGTTCCTATTGTTACGTATGATTTATGAGTAAAAAAATTAAGTTTTCGATACGGATACTTATACTTTCTGCTGGATAGTTGATAATGGTAGATGAAAAGAAGTAGCAGTAGAGCTTCTTGTGAAAGTGTTCGTCCAGGGAAGTACTGCAACCTCTCCTATTTCTGCCGCCAAGCACTAATGTGAGCATTACTGCGTTCCGGTCTCGAGGGGTAAAGTTGCTGGTGAAATTACAGGCATATGGGACTTGTCAATTTATGTGCTAGAGTGTCTGTCTGTACCAAAGCTCTCAGTGGCACTGTAACTGTTAGGGACAGGCGGGTCGCTTACCACCAGGCACACGAATTGTTCGTCCGGTCACTTAGCATTATAAAAAAAATGTGAAAACTTCATAAGTCAATGGAAAACTAAAATTTTTTTTCACTGTTGCATAAATAATTAATTACTTACAGGTAATTTCATGTCGATTTCAAATCGCTTACTAGTGATTTAAAACTTTTATTGAACAAAATTCATCACAGACATGGCGTCAAGATCAGTAGTTTAATTGAATTTCGGGGAAAAACATTGAGATTGTGGTAACTGTAAAACAGTCTGAGGGGAAAACCCTAAAATATGTTTGTTGACATTAATTCTACATGCATCGAATGTGTGGCTCCATAAAGCTGTAAAGCCGTAATCAACTTCATACACCGACACCGCGACTGCGTGAAGACTTCTTTATTCATATTAATTTTTAGCGCGCGAATTGCGAGATGCGAGGGCCGCCCCTCACATCCTACCTCCTAAAATCTAGGCTCGCGTTCAAATAGCCTTAAGCTGCAAATTACAGCTACCAGTCCTGGCGAGACTTTAGCTGTAAAGGTACTAACTGGGTGATAAATCTGTCATAGATTTCTCATAGATGGCGCTACGACTAAAAAGTCGTTGAAAGACCATGTACAAAGACACGACGCAAGCACAGAAAAATTCGTGAGGTCCGTTGGTTCGTTCCGTGGCTTAGTTGGTATAGCGTCTGCCACGGTATGCAAGAAGACGTCGGTTCGAATCCGACCGGATCGAAGGAATTTTTTTTAAGTGTTCGATCTTTGTATTAATAATTATAACAAACAAGTGGAGTAATTTCACAAAAAATAATTGAATATCAATTCAATAAAAATTTAATTAAATAATATTGACATAGCCAACTTACCGTATCATGACTCGTTAAATGTGTATGGATGTAGATGACGTGAAGTTTTCTATAACGAATGCATTCACGTCTTTTAAATACATTGCGTACTGCGTCCTTACATAGAACATAGGTATTACAGTCTAGTCTAAATCTAATAAATAACAAAGTGGTGACAAAATT